CTGTTTCCCCTGTAAATCCTGCCATCTCACATCTCCCCTTGGATGTAATATTTTAAAACATCTACTACAAGAGTTGCACAGCAGTTGCTCAGCGTAAATCCAAACATTTACTCCCTCATTTCACAGTAAATAAATTACATTCCATCTTCTCAAAGATTTTGAATTCTATTTCCATTTAAGAGTTCCTGTTGATGGAGAAGTCCAACCCTGTTACAATGAGGGCTATGTCTGAAACACTGCTACAAATACATATTTTGAAGCTGCAGCAAAATGAAAGAAAGGGCACCACTACTTATCTTACAAAATCATTGACTGCACTTGCATTATCTTCTGAAGACATGGCGCCTGAAAACACACTAATGCTCTGTTGCTTAGAGAAGCAGAACTGAAAACCAGCCAGACCAGGTAGTGGGTGAGTGTGGGAAGTTACTTCAGTAAAAGGACATTCTCAGAGTGACTGAAACCAGTGGGGGAAGCCAAATAGCCCACTCCTTCACAAAACAAAACCAAAGAGGAAAAGGCAAGGTGAAAACTGGAGCAAGTGTATACAAAAAAAAGAATTGCTACTACTGCATTTGCACATCTGGTAAAAGCCACCTTCTGCTTAAACTGTGTTCCTTTATGCTCTTCATATATGCCAGAAAAAAAAAGTCAAAAGCCAAAGCACTCCTAGAAGTAACTGCTGATGCCCCATCTCTGTTGGAGCTTGTCCATGTTTTGTTTGGATCTGTTGTTGGTACCAGCATGGAGAAATTACTATGAACCTCTTCAGTATCTCTTCAAGTGACACAAAAACCTACCCTCAAAATTAACCCCAAATGATCCTCTCAAGAACTGGGGAGGATTCCTTGATTCTGGGCTGTGATATCATGTGCCTGCTGTTTGCAGAGATAATACTCAAAGGCTTCTCCCACTTTGAACTTTCAAAAAGAGACAGCGTCAAACAAAAGGACAGCATGTTAACATCTCCTCACTCTGGTGTCAGAGTCCACAGCAGAAAAATGAGCAAGAGTGACACCAAACATGGAAAGAGGAACTTCTCACTTTTTCCAGAAAGCTACATGAGGCTCTCTAGGCACAGATGTTCATGCAGCTAAAAAAACATAATCAGAAAATCAAGTTGTAAAGATAAGAAAAAAGTTTTTTTTAAGTTTCTTTATGTGCCAAGCACATGACCAAGGAGCTTCTAAAGGACCTTGCAATGAAATGCACTTTGCTTTCTCAGGCTTATCACTGAGGTCCACTACCAAGCAGCAAGAGACTCAGCTTAAATTAAGGTGCAAGATGTTGGCTTTAAGAGTTAATTCTGGTCCTCATTTATCACAGTGTTCTGGTTTACATCACTGACCTTGAGCCAATGCCTTCACACAACAGGTGGGTGCATTTTCTGCTTTTCCCAGAGTAAGCAGTCCTGCTGAAATAAACCTTCTTGGTTTTGCTCTCCTCCAACAGAAATTCATGGCAAGCATCCCTCCTTACTATCTTTCTGAAAACGAGGTTAATTCTCCTGTCCATCCTCTTTCCGCTTCCCCAGTCACTAGCAGCTACTAAAACTGAAGCCCATACTCTTGTGAAAGCAAAAGCTGAATGCTATATAACAGTTTAGAATTAACATGCTAATGAATCCTCTGAAATAATTAAACCTAAGGTTACAATCAATGGCACTAACTGTCTCAGAGATAGGCTATTCCAAAAAAAGGATAATTAGAATCACTTCAGCAAACAAAATTCTTTGTTATTAATTAAAGTGAAAGTTAACTGTCAATCACGTTTACCAGAAGCAAATTCAAGATTTACCTGATAATGATGCAATACACATTCTCCCACTGCTCTAACAGGATACTGAGCAGACATCTCTGGGCTGAAGTATCCAACTTTTGAGTTGCCACTTTTGAGAAAATACACAGCAAAAGCCTAACTTTTAGCTGAGATCAAGAACAAGAGTTATCCTAATTTTGATTGCTCAGTCAGTATGAATTATATGGCTATTAATTTACAAACTCTGTCCTAACCTTACATCTTGAAAAAATGCCAATTTGCAGGAAATAGGACACCTCATAACCATGTGTTTATTGGCCCAAGTCACAACATTGCTGACACTACTAAAAAAAATAATCTGCAGGTGAGAGCAGAAGAATTCGAACAAGTCAAAACCATCTTCCATCTGAGTGTTCTAAATCCCTGTCAGATGAGCAGCCTCACATCTGTCACAGAAGCTTCCTGAGAGCCACAGCATGAGGCAGCCAGGGGGCTTGCTCAGAACCTGAGCAAGCTCTGTTCTGCCCAAAACAGAGCACACTGTCTTGTAGGAAACCATGGGGGCAAAAAATCTTTCTGGGTCAGACCCTGGCATTGCACTCTGGATAACTGCATCAGTAGGAAAGCATTAATAGCAGTTCTTACTTCATTACCATTCTCCTGGAAAACCTGGCAGCCCACAGCTTGGACAGGTTGAAGTAGCTCTTCACTAGGCTGAAGTAGCTCCACGGCTGGGCCCAGGGTGGTGGTGGTGGTAAATGGTGCCACATCCAGCTGTCATCCCCTGCAGATCAGCTTCCCCTCAGCATCTCCTAATGCCCACCCTGCCTCTTCTCCCATGTTCAGCAAGCACAAGGGCTCCATGATGGGCTTGCAGTGGTGAAGCACCTCACTCAAGGTATCCCACTGGAGAACAGCTCCTGCCTCACACCCCACTCAGAAAACACATGAGCTTAATGTGCTACCAATCTCTAAACCTCACAGAAGAAACTTGCATATTAGACTTCCGCTTCAAGTCCCAGCAAGGTGTGAATTATTATCCCACAGTGACCATCTAAATCACATAATAGCAATATGTGATGATAATACCTACATTGTAGATCCTTTTTCCAATAGTAAAAAGGACATAATGATCAAGTTAGTAGGTATAAGCCTGATGACTCTGCTAAGATTTTCAATTTGTGAAACAAAATTGGTATGGGTGTGCCTGTACTTCCTGACTGCTCCAAGTGCAGGATTTATTGCTCTGCCTTTTGTTTTTAACTCCTGCTATGGTTAGAGGAGGTATCTCGTGCTCAGAAAATGAATTAATGTATCTTCTCTGCCTTTTAGCCTTCTGGAAAACAAGATGTAGCTGCAGGAACTACTCCTTATTCAGTTTCACCTAATGACAGGCAGTGTTTCATAGATTATTCTAATGCTGGAAAAACAAGAAGAATGAAGAATTTTAGTGGAGGCAAGGATACAAAACACAGATGGCTGTTAATGGAAAGAGCTACTGATTCCCTTGGGCAAATTCAATGACATCATTGAATCACCTCTGTGACAAAAAAAAAAAAAATCTTAACAAAAATTCCCTTCAAAACCAGTCTCAGAAGAAAGTGTCATGCTTTGATATAATTGTTCAAATGCAAATACAGACTTAGACCATCTGCAGGCTCTGCTGAGTTCAGCAGGAGATAGATTTTAATTCATTCAAATGAAGATCAAATCCAAGGATCAGCCAAGTGCCCAGTAAGAAGCAACAGATAGAGGTGACCTCTATTTCTCAAAATTTTAAAAGTGTGAATCAATGACCAGTGAAAAAAATATAAGTCCAGTGACCTCACTGGGCTTTGCCAAGATGCTCATTTCCATGTCGCACCACACAACTTCTGAAGTACTGGTTCCATCCCAGAAACTGGCCCCTGCAACAAATTTTCCTGAGTTTGGAAACAAGTTAGTATTTTTTGTCAGTTTTGTTTTCTTTGAATTTCATCAATAGTAAATTCTTTGTCTGTAGGGAAATGAACAAATACTCTGAGTATTTATTGTTTGCGATGTCTCTGGGTAAGAAACTGTGAGAAAGCTGTGGTCAATGAGCTGATGCATAATGCATAATGCCCTTCCCCTTCCTCCCTGGTATGTTACCCGACCCTGGCCACTCTGGCTGTACTTGCAGTCACTCTTTGAAACCGTTAGTGTCATCTGGAAAATGGGTCAACTAGTTGCTTTAGGTGGTTGCTTTAGGTAGACATTAATGACATTACTGAAATGTCAAAAAACATTTGTGTAAGCATGAAGTGTAACTTGTAGAGAGCCAGTAAACAGGGGTGCAGTAGAAGTTCAGGCTCGGTTTCAGAGCGCGGTTTTCACTGAGGTGTTTAAACAAGAGACACTTTCAGTAGTGTGCAATGCCTTCCTACTGTGTTAATTGACTTGAAAATTTGATGGTGTGACTTTGCTTAGCTGGGCATTGAGTGGTTCTGAAATTCCAATTTTTCTGTTACCCTTTGAAGCCTTGGGGAAGAAAATCACAAAAAGCCCTATGATGAATAACATCTTCCTCCCTGCTTTAACGGTCTTGAGTCACAGTGTGCAGCTGAAGCAAAGACAACCCATGCTGGTACTGACACTGCTTGTGTCCTGATATTGTCTCTAAAGCTGAATCTGTCTATGACTGAAGTCATGTTAAGGAAGAGCAAAGCTTTTCTTCAACTGGCATGTCTTTGTAAGCAGGAGATGCTGTTGTTCACATTTGTTTTTAGACAATACAAGCCACACCACAGCTGCAGGCTGCAGTGTGCTTGGAGATGAGCCCTCCACGGGGGTGTGGTGAAGTGCTGAGATGGCTCCGTCTTTTCCATGGATTTCTGTTCAGAACACTCACTGGTGATTTGAGGGTGCTGTCAGTGTAAGCAAAAAGTATCTGAATTTGTCTTGGATACTAATGATTGTAGTAAATTGCAAAATTTATCAAATCAGCTGTGGCTCAGTTTCTGTGCCTTTGCCTTCTCGCCCTTACCCAAGAGTAATCAGAGTTCCTGATTATTCCCGGTATTGCACAGAAAAATGGGGTTCTTCAGCCTACCAAAATACTGCTGAATCCTTACCACCAAGGCACATCATGCCATGTTCCTGTTCTCCCTTTTTCATGAGCAGAACCAGAGGGATGGAAAAATTAATTAACTTCCCTAAACTTTCTAGAACAAAACCAAGCATAAAAAAAGAGATGAAAAAATATTGCCTCTTCACATACATACCTGAAAAACTAGAGAATGCTGGTGGAATTGTTGTTTCAGATGTTCAGATGTAGCATTCACACACACCTTTCTGCCATTTGAAGAGCAGCGGCTCATGTCTAGAACATTATCTCCACAGCAGAACAGAGTCCCTGGTGGAAGGAGAAAAACCTCTTGAAAATTCTCTTACTCCTGTGTGACCAACACTTACGGACTGCCTTCTCCCAGTCCCTGTGCTCAGGAACTCTTTTCATCAAAGCCAAGCCATGTGCTCCAACAGCTGTGTTTACTAGAGCAACTGTGGCTTGCCCTCTAAAACTAGTTCTTAGATGTTGTCAGCTGTGTTTATACAGATATGGGAGACTTCATGTGGCAAAGCATTTGCCAAATACCCTGTGAATTAGCTATTTTCCTTGTGCTGAGATAATACTGGCATTACCTAGTTTTAAACTTCAACAGATCTGTATGACAGCACTGCAGATAAATCCTCAGCTAAAAGTTCAGCCTTGAAAGCAATTCTTTGGAAAGCACATTTGTGCTGAACACAACTGCCTAGTATTTCTTTGCTTTTGAGGATCACAAATCAAAGCCACTCTCTTGTTCAGCCACTGCTATTTTGGGAACAGCGCTCTTCCTCCTCTGAGGAGGGAGGTTCACAAGGAGGAAGAGGCAGGAGGTCACATCATCCTGCGTGGTACAAGCAGGGTGTCTGGGAACATCACATGTCTGTAACCAAATTCATGTCTTTTCATTACCTGGAGCCCCTAAATCCAACATGTTAGCAATGCTTAATACGGTGTGTCACAGGCAGAAGCATACAGGAGATACAGAAAGTCTTGCCCATTATTTCCTCTGGATTGTCTTAAGACATGGATAACTGACACCCTAAACCCAAAAGGTGCTGTGCTAGAATTTTGGCCAAAGCAGCACTGATAGCACAGGGGCATCTCAACTATTACTGAGCTCTGAGGCACAACACCAAGGCTTTTTCTGCTTCCCCTGCTGCCCTCAGGCTGTCGATAGGGAAAAGGCAAGAATAACAGGCTGAACAAACACACAGGGTATGAAACATGCCTGTGGAGCATCCTGCAGGAAGGAATCTATGATCATCATAGATTACATGGAATGTGAATTGACTCATGATCATGATCATGCAAAGTATCAGCTGGAGAGAATGCAGAGGGGAATATCTGAGGTCTCAAAATTGCTTAGGAAAAACAGGTGAGAGAACAATTTTGTCTAAGGAAGGCCAGACTAAGGAGATCAGGTATAGATGTAACAGAGGGGAAAAGCAGTGAACATTAACATCATAGTGTTGCTAGTGGACACGAAATAGAAGCGATGGGTTCGGTATCAGTAGCCGAGGTTTTATTTCTCAGAAGGCAAAAGCCTTTATTTCGGGGTTTTCAAGCCTTTTTATGAGGTGTTCCAATACAGGTTAACCAGATTGGTACAAGGAACAGCACCTCTCTCATCCCATTGGTGGGACAAGAGAAAAAAACACTCAGAATATCTGTGTCATTGTTTTAAGAGCTAAAATCTTATTTACACAACAGTCCTTGAGAGAGAAAAGTTTCCCAAAAGACTTTCTCTTGGGAAATAGATCAGCCACCGAGAGCCTGAAACTATCTCAGGCTCAGAAAATCATGTCCACATTATTCATGCTCATTTCAGAGGCATTTAGACATGCTAAATATCAAACTCTGTCAGGATTATGCTCAAAATCACTCACCCTACTACTGAAAACAGATGCATGTCTTAAATTACAGTTAAACACTCATACAAGAAAATGGCTTCTAGAAAGTCAGAAGCATCATCTCAATAGAAGAAGCTTCTGCTCTAAGAACAGACAAATTCAGAGCAACTCAAATCAGACCTCGGGATCTTAACTCCCGTTCAAGCCATGTCTATGCAAATGATTCCAACAGGACTGTCGCATTTTATACAAATGAACGGAACAATCCTGCTCACCTGCAGCAGGAGGCAGTCTCATAATACATTCCACATCAAGTACCTCTCAACAACGTACTGGAACGTGATGGTTAAAAATTTGAGCAAGCAGCTGTCAAGGAATTTATCATTCTGATAACGTTTGAGGTACAGAAGCCAAGTGTTAAAAGACCTGCTACAGTGTAAAAGAGCAGGAAGTCTCGGACCTTTCAGTTCAAAGGGAATAGTAACTCAAAGTCCTTTTGATCTGGTGATGACCTGCAAATCTGCACTTATCCGTTCATTCTGCTGACTCCCAAGACAGTCAAGCAGAAAAACCTCATGACAAACAACTTGGCAAAGAAGATAGGTACAGGATACACAACAGAAAAACCAAACAGCTGTAGTAAGTTTAAAGTAATCTTTTCCCAGTATATTTTTTAAAAATTGTAACAATTTATCTTTTTCTTCATGTTTCAATTAGACCAGATCCCCAAACTAGTGAAATCAAGGAAAATATTTCTCCCGATCCCAGACACTCTGGACTAGTTTCTTCTGAAGTCATTTGTGTTTTATTCTGCGTTGCAGGTTAAACTTGTTTTAATCAAAGCACTGGTGACACTATCAGAAAGACAATGTGACATTTCCATTCCATTCCACCAGTTTAAAAAAGACTCCATGAAGAAGTTGACCTTTTCTCAGTCAAAACATAAATGCCAAAGTTGCAGGAATCTATCTTTCAGTTACTGTCACCTTGATAGTTAAACATGCTGTAAGCACTACACATAAAACATTACCAAGCCTAGTGTGTATTTCAAAGGCAGTCTTCCCTTTCAGGGTGGATTCTCCATTTCTGAAATGCAATGAATCTTATGCAGCTTTTCCTCACAAACGTGACAATTCTGGGGATTAAGACTCTAAAGAGGAAAGGACTATCAAAATGTTGGGGAAGGGCAGGAGCACCAGGCACTTGCCTGACTACAAGGCCATGGGCTGGTGGAGCAATTAATGTCCATCTGTCTGGCAAAGAGAAATCAGAACTTAGGGTCCCACATATTGGCAAAGTTTCTGCCAGCTCTGTAGGGAATGCTGCCAGCCAGGGGCACCACAGCAGGGAAGAGGGGTCCCTACTTCCTGTGGAACAAGTGTCTTTCTTACCCTCTTCCCAAGGTTCACACTTTTGCCTGAAAACATGCTTCCAAAACATGCTTCCAAAAGAGTTCCCTAGGAAGCAAAAAATAACATCCAAAATCCAGTTTAAAACTCAGCCTGAAGCAACCACAGAAAAGTTGTGTTTGAGGAGAAATGCTGTAAGGAATAAATGATCCAAAACCTCTGCTGCTCTTTAAAGACATTTTTCCTTTTGCTTTCCTTCTGCTCATTCAATTTAACTGAATGAGGCTACAAGTCCGACTTGACAAAAGAATAGTAAATATTGCTCTTGAAAGCTCACCAGAGCTGAAACTTTACACAGGCTCGATTCTACTTCAGTTCCATTTGATATTGCAGATCAGGATTCTTCTCTGCACAGGTGAATGTCAAGTGTTTAATTCATCCCTCTGTGTCACTGTACATTTGGCTCATTATCCATATATCCATGAAGTTACAGTTATGATATTCACAATCATGACATATGAGCTCATGCCCTTCAGGGAAAGGATTGCTACTTTTAACATAGAGTTTTAGCTCAGAAAAAAAAGAAAACAAGTATTTATACCAAAGTGTGTGAAGATCCCTAAACTTCAGTTATTGCTTCCATTTCCCAAAGAAGGCACATAACTGCAGTGCTGAGTGACAGAATAAAAGACTTAGATAGATGCATAATAATTTATTAATTACTTCTAATATGGACAGAAGCCCTTGGACATAGATATGATACAAGGAAACTGTCATGAATCACTACCCAAGATTAAGAAACATCTGGTTTTTTGCTTCCTCTTCTCACTCATTCCATCTTTTTCATTTCTTATTCTTTCATCTCATGGTAGCAATGCTGAATACTAACAAGCTGTATGTATTTAACTGTGCTCACTCATTTCCATGCTAATTAATTCAGGTTCCAATACATGCATTTTGTACAGGTTTGATAAATCTCTCTTAAACTGGTAATTTGAGCCCAAATCTTCTCCCAGGGCAGAGATAATCATTCAGCTTCTAGCCATTTCTGCCTATGATGTCAGTGCAGGGATTATTTTAACTAAAATGTAGGTGAGAAAATCAATCAAAAGATAACAAACAAGTCAGATCACACATTACCTGTAGCCAGTATATATATACATATGGGATTCTAATCCAATTTATGAAGCTTTCAAGCCAGTAAACCAATTAATTTTAAAATGCATTTCAGTCAAGATGAAAAACTACCTCGTCTTCTGCTTTGTTTTTTAAGGTGCAGGATGAATAAGCTGCAGAAGACAACACAAAAGCATTTTTGTCTTGTTTTTGTTTTTTAATAGCACAAATGCAGCAATTACTCCTAAGTGATATCCATCAGAAGTCTCTTGGCAGTTTATATACAACTTTAACAATAGTTAAAATACCTCAAATACTTTGAGAGTGATGTTAGCAGACTGTTTTTCTGCTGTTATTTGCTTTCATTCTGACACATTAAACCAAGAGACAGAGGGAATCTACTACAGTCCCACTGTGTTGTCCTTGGTGCTTTGTCACTCACAGATACCAGAGGCTCTGAAAGCCTTCAAGGGAACAGGAAATATTTAGGAAAAGATATTGAAATTATTAGATATGGGACCACTGTGCAAGTACATAAAATATAATTATCTTACATCAGGTATTTCACTAAGCACAAGACTCTAATTATTTTGGTTTATGTTACCATTTAAAAAAATAGGAAAAAAACAGAGTGATACAGCAAAAAAAATCTCTTCACTATAGAGTATTAAGTGAAAGTTTTGAAAAACAGGATAGTGTGTAATTTGGCATAGCATATATTCAAGCAGGTATTTACTGCCTTCAGGACACTAAGACAAACAAGAAACAAAAACCTGCCCAAATACAATAAATGTCACCATCAGTTTGGTGAACCAGAGGGTAATTTAATTCTGCATCATCAAAAACAGTTATTCAATTATGATGTATTCCATTCTTTTAAGCATCTTTTCCCCAGTTTTTCAGCTTGCTTTTTTGTCAGGGAGAACAAAAACAGGAGAAGGAAGGAAAATGGGAACAAAAAACTTCTGTCTCACCCAGCATAAAATGTATT